CAGCATCCGATACAATGTGCAAATGGGCAATGCTGTCTTCAGGGGGCAGGCCATAAGCACCACTGGAAAACAGACAGGTCACGGGAAGATGTTCTGCAGGGAGACAAGGAACCCACTGCTGCAGCTGCCCCACGTGCATTGCTCATTTTGCAGAGTCCCCAGCACACCCTACAGGATCAATCCACTGAATGCCCTCTACCCTGGGCAGACTCAGATGCACCAGATCTGCAGCGCAAGGGTCTGGGGAATGAGTAGCATTGGTTCAGAGGAAAGGCCCCTTCCTCTTAGTTCCTCTTCCATAGTTCCCATAGGAGAACTGTGGCAACTGCAGACATCCAGGTCTGCCTGCTAAGCTCCTCTTCAACAGCAGCAGGTGCTGCAGGGCCCTTGTGAGCTGATTTAGCAGAGAAATCAGCTCCTTTTCTTGCTCAGCGCATCTTCGCTTTATTGCTCCCTCTTGATGCTGTGTAATTTCTCCCTTTCCTGCACTTCGCGGCTAGCTTAGTTTCATCTAAAGCTCATCAAAGGGTGGCAGGGGGGTAGGCAGGTTGGGAGGTTGTCTGACACTTTCTGAAAGCATCTTGTAGAGATGCCACAGCTCCTTACTGGTAACATAATGTGCCCACCATGTCTGTGTTGTTTCTTCCAAGAAGTGTAGAAGAAACAAAGTACCCTTCCCCAGCCCAGTTCCCAAAATAAAAAGAAATAAGGTTTTAGGATGAAAATAACTGGCTGAGGCATGTCCTCTGTGCTAGGAAGATCAAGTGCTAATGATGGTTCTGGCACGTTGGTGACAGTTTTGTCTGTTGTATGTATATATATTTTAACTGTGAGACCACATGGGAGGCTCTTTATGCAGTCGAAGTGCCTTTGACAGCCGCTGAGAACACATTGGCTCCTTTCTGCTGGCAAAAGACTCATCCCATTAAAGGCTGTCGATAAAGGGAAGGGAAATGACAAGGGTGCTTGGGAGGGAGCGAGGCAGCAGGAGGAGACAGGAGCTGCCACCACCAATGTCATTACCAAGAATGAGAAGGAGCTTTTGCATAAACGCACCATGTGTTTTCATTAGCAGTGGTGGGAATGTGCTGTTCTGAAGAGAGCATTTATACCATTGAAGGGAAAACAGATACCCGGCGGCTGTCACAGGAGCACCCATGATGCTGATGACTTCGGCACGTGAGCACCCTCCAGCCCCTGCCTTGTGCTTGGTGCCAGTGCAACGCGACCCCGAGGCAGACAGCCCTGCAGTCGGGGCTGGGTACCCTTAAGGCACCTGTGTGCTGGTGTGCATGCACACGTAGCACCTCTGGAACAACCCCACCAGGAGCTGTGTGCAGTTTTTGGGTCTTTACCAAAGAGTGAGGCTGTGAGGAGACAGTCAAATGACGTGGTTCTGTGCAGTGCCACCCAGAGAGGTGTTGCTTCTTATCTCAGCTCTGGGACCTCTCCTTTTGCAGGCCAGTTTGCCATTACTACCATGATAAAATCTTATTTAAATGTTAAAACATTATTGCACCTCTTGACAAAAGTGTTTAAAAAGATAATATTCCACTGGTGGGGTTCAGGTTAACCTGGCCCACTGCTCTCTGGCATGGCTGGGTCTTCATAGTATAGAATTGTAGAGTCATAGAATCACAGAATCATAGAATTATAGAATGGCCTGTATTGGAAAGGACACCAAAGATCACCTAGTTCCAACCCCCCTGCCAAAGGCAGGGATGCCATCCACTAGATCAGGTTGCCCAGGGCCTCATCTAACCTGGCCTTGAACACCTCCAGGGATGGGGCACCCACAGCTTCTCTGGGCAACCAGTTGCAGTGCCTCACCACCTTCATATGATGGTGAGGAGACGTTTCCCTGGGTATTAAGTGCAGTACAAGCTACTGAGACTTCTCTGCTCAGGGACAGGAGATGGTGTGAAAGACGAGGGCTTTTCAGAGCTATAGCAAGGGCTGTTATGCAGCAACCTTGCACCCTAAAGGGATACATGGTATAGCCCAGGACATGACAAGCCATGCCTTGATAAGCAGATCCATGAGGTGATCCATCTATGCAGGAGAACTTCACCCTCTTGGAGGATCTCCTGGGAGATATACCTGTGGTTAGGTAGGAGGAGGTGAGAACCTCACTGTGCCTGTGTGTGCTCACAGTGTCCATACACACACTTGGGTTTTTGGATGATTTTGGTCTTTTCTCAGTGCACATGGTGCCACTTTGCTTGTCATATCTTAAAAGAGTTTTGCTTGTACCCCCTGCTTGCCCATGCTGTGTGCTGGAAAAAGTGCATTTTTCCAGGGCTTAAGGCAGTGTTTTTTGTCAGTCCTACTTGTTTGATTTTAGGTTTAAACCCTTTTCATGATTTCCCCACCAAACAGAGGGGTTACATTACTCTTACTAGAAACATCTCATCACCTGATCATCCCAGACTCAACCCCTGTCCTTGAAGCAGGATATACCCAGAGCCGCTGGGTCTCACCAATTCGCTCTCAGATCTCCTGCTCCAGCTTCTCCTGTTGCACTTTCCAAAAACTTGCCTAAACTGAGGCAAGGTTTTGTGTCAGTGGGTCTGCAGATGGGCTGAGAGGATAGGGCAGGATGGGGAACTAATGCTGGGGACTGATGGGGAGTCAGGCAGGAGGCTGGGATAGAACATCCTGCCCTGCCCAGCCAGGGCCTTTTAGATTTATAAGCCACAGGCTGGGCACACTGCCAGGTGGGCAGCCTGGTCTCACTCTACCTGGCTCCTGCAAGGGTAGGGACCTTCTTCATGGGTGTAGAGGTCTCACTGCAGTGAGAGCAATGCTGCCCGAGTGCTCTGCACCTCTGAGTATGCTTGGTACCCTCAGACCCTCGTGGTGCCTCCACAACCCTGGTAGAGATACACAGGCAAACAAGTGGAAGCAGATCTCTGTGCTCTGCCTCCATCCCAGAGCAGCGCAGACTGGAGAAGGGAAAGGAAAGATTAGCAGTGTTTGGGACATTGAAAATCCCCATATCCTCATGTCCCAAGGCTCAGAGAGGCCCACATTTACTGAAATCGTCACCAGTTGAACAGACTTTAAATAGAATGTTACCACTGAGCCTGGAACCTCCTGTAATTCTGCTGGGTAGCATCAGGCTGGAGCAAGCAGCTAAGTCCTCGTCCTACCCACGAAGCCAAAGCCAGCCTCAAAGTCAGGAGCATTTGGAGCACCTGTCACCAAACTCTGCTGTCCCCAGGCCTCCTATGAGCAGGGCTTAAATTGCAGTTTCCCCTATGACTGCCCAGCTATCTGCCCCAGAGCTGATCTTACATCACCTGATTTTTTTTTCTCCTGCTGTGTAAGTCTTTGCACATGAGTATGGGCCTCTAACTGCACCTGGGTGGTTGTGGCAGCTCTGAGTCTCCTCCTGCAGGAGACAGCTCTGCTCTGCTCTGCTGTGACTGCACCTACAGAACCCAAAACCTGAGGCGTGGTGGTCTGTATGAGACATCCTGGTGCCTTGTACCACACTGGTACATCTTCGCAGGGAATCAGAAGTACAGAGAGTGCCTTGCTTGGCAGCAGAAAGTGGGTCCAGACCAGGGTCATGCAAAGAACTGCATGACCCAGACCTCTGGCCCAGGCTCCTGAGCTGGGCTGGGAGAACTTCTGACACGAGTTACAGATGGAATGAGATTTTGAGATTTGTTTAGGGAGCTCTGCTCCAGGGTGCTGTCCTCTGTCATGGGACTCACAGGGAAAAGTCTGAGAGGCAGGAGACACCCCTGTCCCTCGTAGAGCCACTTAAGCCCCATTGCCCTTAACCCAAAGCAGTATGAGAGAGAAACTCACTCCCTAATTTGTAGCGGTGTCAGTCCCCCCACACCAGAACCACCCCAAAACCCAGCAGAGGTCTCACACAGCCCTACACACCAAGCAGAAACACCCCCAGACCCCCCTGCTTTCCAGAGCCTGCATGTCCCAGACCTTCAGGGGCCAGGAGATGTCACCTCTTTGTCTCAGCATCTCCGTGTTCCCCCATGAGAGGAGAAGCAAGAACAGACCGATGTGCCATGAAACCACTGTTCATCAGCACTGGGGGTTCCTCTCCAGCCAGGGATGTGGCTCACAATTCCCTCCTGGATGTGCTGGTGCTGCACAGGGGCAGGAAGGGTGCCAGGACTTGGGTCCCAAATCCCCCAGCGAGACACAGCCCAGCATTGCCGTGCAGTTCTCAGCAGCACCCCCAATTTGCACCTCCTTTGGATGTGGTTTCCTAATTTCTGAGATACCTTGGAAACTGTGGGCTGCCTCCTCCAAATCTTTATCGCAGCCCCTCCTCCACCAGATCGGCTGCAATTTCCAAAGCGAGCCAGCTGATTAGAGAAGGCAAATTAATTCTTTCATTAGGAGAAGCATTGTTATAATTAGAGTAGAAATTTGGTACTGATGCCTTTTAGAAAAGGAAAAGAGAGAAAGGAAGAGAGAGAAAAATCCCTTCTGTTTGATACAGTTTTATGGCATCTTTATTTAAAAGATAGTAATATATGCTATATATATATATTTGTATATTTGCTGGCCATGCTGAGCTACTGCGGTTTGTTAACATAAATAAAAATCATCATTATCATAATTCATTGTAAAAAAATTCAAGAGGTCACAGAGATATTTTGGGAGATGTTGGTGAATCAAAACAAATTGCATTTTCAGCAGCTGGCATTTCCAGCTCCTGCACAGCACCAAGTGAGAGGCTGGAGGAAGAAATAAATAGAGAGGCAGGAAGATAAATCGAGAGCACCAGACAGACGGGTTTATGTAGCATTTTCATGTATCATTGTTGGGTGACATGGTGTGAGCTATCTCTGTACTTACAGCCCTCCTGCTCTCCAGCAGCTTGCTCCCAGGACCATGGTGAGCCCCTGCCAGGAGATGCCGGCTGGAGTGGAAGGCAGAGGGCAGCAGGCTCATGTTGGCAGGCTTCCTGCATGATTGCACACAGTCATGGAGCTGGCTGACCGGGGTTACCTTTGTCCTCTGGCCCTCAGAGACACCGGATGATTGGAGTAGCTTCCAGCCACCACATCTGGTTCTCCTCTTGCACTCCAGGAAGAACCGAGGTGGTCAGATTTGCCCTGGCTCAGCACGTGGGACTCTCCAGCAGGAGGTAAGTTGGCATCTCCAGAGGTGTGTGCCCAGCTATAGGGGGTGTGAAGCATGGGGAGAAGGTCTCTAGATCTCTAGATGGTGACTTTCCTTGAAGAAAGTTTTTCTCAATGACCCTGGTGCAGCAGAAGCTGCAGGATTGTATAGAGACCTCTGGGACCTGGGCAGACCCTAAGATTGGATCAGAATAACAAGAACTAGCTTACTAAACAAGTTATACGGACATACCTATGAATTTATGGCAGGAACTACTCAGAGATGTGGGTTTTAAGTCTGAAAATCTTGCTTCATCAGTACATAGTAATGCAGCCAGCGCATGCAGTGAAGGTGACTCCTCATGGCCAAGGGCAGACCGGGTGACCAAGCAGTGCAGAAGGGGGGCTGCAAGGAAACAAGTGCATCTTGCCTCATCTGTCTAGGTGAGAGGGAACTCATGGCTTTGAAAACCAAAGGGATTGCTGCGATCAATAACACTTTTGTCCCTCTGCTCTTTCCTTTGGAGAGGTCAAAGTCTGGTACTTCAACTGAAGGCCATTTCTCTCTTCAAAACCTATAAATTTCTCCCACTCACCCTACCAAGGGCTGCTGTACATGAGTTTCTACCTTTGCTTAGGACAGCTGCAGAGCTGGGCTGTCACTGAAAGCTTCACTTGATTTTATGGCACCTCACATGTCTGTAGAAATCGGAGTTGCTTCTGCTATACAGATCTATTCTGATGCTTTGGTAGCTGAGATGTAACAAGAATACCTGATAATTTCTGATTATTCTTGGCACTAGGCACCATATTATTGCTTATGGGGACATCAGCACTGGGATCCTGGGGATGTTCTAGCGGAGAAGTTTTACTGAATGTGGCTGAATCTGTCTCATGCGTATGTGAAAGGGACAGATATGAACTTTCTGCTCTCCATATCATATTGACTTTCTGGAGCTTCCTCTGTACAGGAAATGTCAGCAGAGTGGCCACAAACTGTGTCTTTCACAAAAGTGTAACAGTGCTTTCCACATCCTGGTTTTAATTTGGCATGACTGGGAGAAAAGAAGAAACGTTTTCCTTTCCCTTCCTCTTGGCTCTTGATATCGTGATGTGGTCAGGGCCACCATGGTCACTCTCTGACCCGAGGGTTCTGGGATGGACGCAGACCCTGAGCTGCACACAGCCTCCCTCCCTCCATGGGATGGGGCAGTGTGGTCAGGAGGAGGCAGTGCAGCAGGTGCCAGCAGCTTGGGCCGTCCATAACTCTGTTATGCTCCTATACATTCAACCTTCATTGCTCCAAACCAAACAGACCGGTGTCCTCAGCCCCAGAATGAGGTCTCCAGCTGTGCACATCACAGCCTCTGGCACCCTGGGGGACTCCTTCAGAGCTTCCTGGAGACCCAGATCCAAGAAACAAAGAGAAGAGGCAACTTTCTCTCCTGCTCCTGGCTCTGCCAAGTTAACAGGATATTTTTGCTGGAGAGCTGCACTAGTCTGGACTGCTGACACTTTCCTGGGATTTCTGTGGGGCTGGAGAGGGACAATTTCACTCCCTGGGAAGGTGCTGGTCACAGCTATTTTGCCAGGCCCCGAAGCCAAGCAGTGAGTCTGCTTGGCATGAAGCCCTGGAGAGATCTCCTGAAGCTCAGCACCCACCCACATCCCCAGCAAGTCCAGAGAAGCCTTCCAGGCTCTGAGAAAGCCTCAAAGCCCCTGAACCTTGGCTGGTCCCACAGCACTAATGTTGCATAAACTTCTAATGAGGTATGGTGTCGCGTTCTCCGTGTCCTGTCTGCTTTTTGTCTCGGATGAGCCAGGCAGCCAGCAGATCACCTGCACCCAGCCATGTGCACTCCTCCTCCTCCTCCTCTCCCTCCTCCTTCTCCTTGCCCTCTGCTGCCCTCCCTCCCTCCATGCTTTGCCCTGAGGGTGAAATGCCTCCTCCCTGCCTTGGAGCCCCGTTCTCTCCCTGCCCATCTGAGTCTCCTGCAAGCCAGGAGCCTTTGCAGCTGCTTCCAAGGACAGGAAAGCAGAGAGCTCCCCGCTGCTGCTGGCTGTCACTCTGCAAAACCCCGAGCCAGCAGCCGCTCGGAGAAGGAGCGCTGCCATTGCAGTCAGCAGCCAGAGGGTCAAATCCTTCCAGGAAAATGTAATCACTTCCAATGAGCAGAAAAGCAATTTAGACGAGAGCTTTGTGGCTAGAGATTACAGAGCCCAGAGGCCATGTGTGTTCAGCAGCTCTCCCCAGCCTGGAAGGGAGCGGGGAAGCTGGCAGCTCCCCCCGTCCTGCTGCTCGCCTGGAGCTGCTCCATGCCAGGAGATGAACGCGGACCTTCCCCTGCTGGCTCCAACGATCCAGGCTGCGTGCAGACCCGCTGTCCCTCAGCATCCCTTGGATCCCCATCCCCAGCCTGGCTCCCAGCCAAGATCTGGGGCTGGAGACCAAGGGGGGAGGCCTGGGTCTGTGCAGCTCCTAAAAGAGCAGCGAAAGTTGTCAGACGAAGCGTTCAGCCAGAGACACCTTCACACGACCTCTGTGCTTTGGGCTCACTGCCCGGCTCTGGCAGCCCCATGCCCCACATACAAGATGTGATGAGCTGGGCCATTGTCCCACCTGAAAAAAAGAAAAAGAAAAAAGAGCTCACACCACACGGGCTCACACAAACCAAAGGACCAGCAGCACAGAGGAGCACCTCACACCTGGCAATGGGGCCAGTGGGTTCTCAGTACCCAATATTTTGTGACCGGCTGCTTCAAACAACTTTCTTATGACCTTACATGTTGAAGCCACCATCTGACTCAGCCCCCCAAGCCCTGGACCAGCCGTAGGGTTACCACTGCCGCCGGCTGCCCCCCATGTGCCGTGGGGTCATTCCCTCTTTAGCACAGCACGCTCTGCTCAGGATGGGGTCAGCAGCCAACGGGACCACCTGGATGGTCCCATTCTGGGGAGCTGCGGTCAATGTGTACCATCAGAGCTGTTTGCACATCGCTGTCAGCTGCAGTCACCCTGACTCAGCTGCTCCAGTCCCTCTGCTGTACACCTGGAAAAGGTTTGCAAAGCTTTTGCGCTGCGGGCTGAGAGGTGAGCCCAGCTCGCACGGAAGAGTCTGCATTTGTTCTGTGTCATCCTGGGCCGAGGTGAGAGGAAGTGTTCGAGTCTCAGATTACACAAAGGCTTTCAGCTTGTCCTGAAAAGTCAAAAACTTAGATACTTAGGAGCCAGGTCTCCCTTCCAAGTCTGATTTCGAAGTATTTATCTTTTTGAAATGTTTAAGTATAATTAGCTTAAATTTCAAAACAAAGGGTCATCTGAAATGGAAAATAGATTTTTTTTTTATCCCTTAAGAATGTCAAAACACTTCATTTTGATAAATTTAGAACTCCTTCCAGATTTTTTCTGACTCAATAAATTAATCAAACCCGACCTTTTCTTAAAATAAGTGTTGGTTTTGAAAAAAAAAATCAACATTTTCCAGTGGAAAAATATACAATTCATCCAAAAATTCTTACCATGTTTCCATCCTGACTTCTTGTCATGTGTCTCTCCTATGCTGCTTTCCCAGTAACTATAATCCTGGCTGGATTAATTAAAGTGGGCAAGGAGACAAAGTCAGGAACAGCTCCAGCCTGAGCAAGAAATTTTCTTTTCAGGCTCAGAGATATGTTGAGAACATTTCTTTTTGCTTTATTTCTACAAGTCTGAGGCTGAGCAGACTTCAAGGTGCAGTGTCCACAGGGAGCATTTTCTTTGCTGTGACCTGTGACCCTTGAAATCCCCACCTTTCCTCCCAGTGCTCATTCTCTCTTTATTTGCATTTCCCCTAAAAACAAGCTTCAGCTACTGAGCCTATAAACACAAATTTATTGTTGAGACAATCCAGGAGATGCTTAAAGAAAATCCTGACACCTCCTTGAGATTTAACTTGAGAAGTTCAGCTGGGATGAGACACTGATCCAAGATGAACATGTGTGCATCTGGAGCAACTTCAGTGGTGGAGTCCACAGACAAGCTCTGGTTTCTGCAGTATTTATTTACACCAAAGAGACTGACACAGAAATTAGGCCGCTGAAACGAGCCAGAAAAAACTCTGTGGCAAGCTCTGTGCAAAGCCATTGACAAAACAAGCTGGAAAGGGGTCAGAGAGACGGTGTGGCACTGGGTGACCTTTGGTCTTGGTGATTTATCTCTTGTGGCATCTTCCTGCTCCACAGAGCAGCACAGTGCAGGCAGATCCAAAGGGAGGTGATTAAAGCTGCCCTGTGCTAGTGCCAGCGTGCTACCTAGGGAATGCTGCCCAGGCCAGCACCCCTCCCAGACACACCTTGCGTGCAAGCAGCTCTTTCCTATGGAGCAAGGTGTCCTCAGCCAGTCTTCCCACAGGGCAGGAACCTCCTCCAACCTGCACTGTGGGATGGCCCCAACTGGATCCAGGCAAAGCCGCACTGGGGCTGGACCAACAATTTCACCTGCTGGGCTGGGAGGATCAGCGCTGCAGCCCCTCTTTGTTTTACCTGCACAAACTGTGTGACCACAGAAGTTTGTGGCAGCTGGGCTGAGGTTTTATGGTTGCCAGTGGCACTGAAACATGAGATTTATTTCCTCTGTGAATCCAGTGCCCAGCACTAGCTGGAGTGGGATGACAGTGATTTACTACGAGTGTACGCCTGTTCCCGCTGCCCACAGTGCTAACATAACACTGACACAAGCCCCGTAACTTCTGTGAGTGCCTTAGGACTGCTCTGGGTGTATGCAGCACGGCTGGGGTGGCAAGAAGCAAGGTGCAAGGTTCAGCTGCACTGCCCCAGGGAGGACCATGGGCCTGATCCTGCTCTCAGGCAGACAACGCTCCACCACCAGCCTGGACAGACAACTTGTTTTCCCTGGGCATGAGAAGAGAGCAAGGGCCAAGTGCTTCGCTGGGATTCATGACCAATTTGCTGACGCCTGCGAGGTGCTGGCCAGGACAATGGCGGAGAGCTGCAAACTGCCTGGCCCCATGGCACGGGGCCACTGGGTCCCCTGGGACCACAGGCAGCAGGTCCCCAGGCCAAAGGGGACTTGTGTGCTGTGGACCTCTGCCCCCGAGACTGCCACCTGTCAGCGCTGTAAATGAACCCCCTGGTGCAAACAAGCCCAAATTCCCAGCGGGCTCCCACCTTCGCCCGTCTCCTCCAATCAGCTCCCCGAAACACACATCCTGACACAGCCACCACGCACAGCACCTTTGAATGAAGTTGCCATAGTTACTGGTGCCTCACAGCAGCAGGCTGAGCTCATTAAAATGATTTGAATGGCTACCCTATAATCAAGGCGCTCAGGGAGGGGAGGTCTGGCGGGGAGGAGGGCCCTGGGACGTGACGGGGGCATGGGCTGGGAGCAGCTCCAGAGATCGTGGTGCACCCAGAGTGGCTCAGGGAGAGGCATGGGGACAGTGTGGGGCTGGGGCAGGTGTGTGCTCACACCTTGTGCTGTCCCCTCTTGGAGAAGGAGGAGGGCGTTGGGGTCTCCTTCCCTGCAGGGACCCCCGGTGCTGCTGAGGCTGCAGGCAAGCATTCCCCCATCATGTCCACACACACTCCGTGTGATGGTTTCCCACAATCTGGGGTAGCCCGGGAGGCAGTGCTGGGGGTCTGGAATCAAGAGTAGCTCGAGACATAAGCCAGATCTTTCAAAATATACCTTTCAATAAATATTTTACAAATTACTGTTTAAGAAAACAAAAAAAAAAAATTAAAAAAATAAAAAACACATTATTGGATTCACCCAAAACATTCAGCCCAAATAATATCTCACTTTTTTTTTTTTTAGCTATTATTTTTTATTTTTCTTCAAGACAAGGTTGTGAGAAGCAAGTATTTTGGGGTTTAGCCTAAACCAAAGCAGAACTAAAAAATTCAGTATTAAAAATATCATAGAATACTACGAGAAAAAGTGCCAGGGGTGCTGAAAATATCTTGCTATTAATATATATATATATATATCTCAAAAGCAGGTCTTTCTGGAGCACTTCTGCTCTGGGGAGGAGTTGGCTGTGGCATCCTCAGGCAGGCGCTGCTCAGAGCTGCTCAGCAGCGGGCTGTGCCCAGCTCCGACTGCATGTGGGTGTGGATCCCTGTGGGAGGAGGTGGCACAGGGTGGCACGGGGTGGCACGGGGTGGCACAGGGTGGCACGGGGTGCTCCAGACGCTGGGTGCTGCAGGCTGCCCATCTCCCTCCTCCTGCCATCCCAGCACCCAGCCCAGCCTCCCATCACCACAGAGCCTCTGCAAGAGCCCGCTGCCTCCGCTCAGCCTCGCCAGCTGGTTGGGTGCGGAGTGCCCTTCTCAGGGCGATCCACCAGGGCTCCCACACGTGGAGGAAGCCCAGGTGAGGATTTTCTTTATTTTCTACATTCATGCAGGGTGTCCATCTCACTGGGGCCAGTCCAGCCCGACACACAGGACTGGAAGGGTGTGTGCGCATCACCACACCACACCTCTCTGTGAGACATGGGGGAAAGCCTCCTGAGCCTCTCTGTGGCTCCAGGGTGGCTGCTGCGATAACATTTGGGAGCTGCCCATCGTAGATGAGCTGCAGCAGCAGCGACTCCCTTCTTCTGGGAGCAATGAGGTCTGTCCCCCTGGTCCATCTCCTCACATCCTTCCTCACCCAGGGGATGCTTCATTGTGCCAGGCCACGCTTAGATCCCTCGGGTGGCACTGGCTTTTGGAAGCAGCAAAGGCAGCTCTGTGCGTCTCCCACTGGTGTTTTCCCACAGCACAGAGCATCCGTGGCAGCTCCCATGTGGCCGTGACGGTTCCTCCGCCCCAGAGCTCTCCACCTTCCCCTCCCCACAACAAGCACAGGCCCGCACCCCTTGCTGTGCAGAGAGCTATCAGGGTACACGGATAATCTTTTACTCTTCAGTACAAATAATTTATTACATTAAAATAACGTTTTTAAAAAATGAGTACTTTGGGAATAATTCAGGCTCGCCTGCGGAGGCATTTTTCAAAGTGCCATAATAGGCACTTAGAAATGGGTGGTTATTTTTATTCTCCGAGCCTGTCAAGAAGCTGATGGATCGAATTGGCTGATGACAAGGCAGCTGAGTGCTCGTAGACGGAGACCACAGCGTGAACGCGGAGCCTGTTACAAATGAGCAGCTGGCTCAGGTCGCAGCTCTGCCGCAGCAGCCTCGGCTCCCCCCGCTGTGTCCGGGTGGGCTGCGGGCAGGGAGCCCCGAGCCAGCGCCCCCTGCTCCCCATCTCTGTCCTGCAGACAGGGACCAGCCTCACCCGCCCCACTCTCCATCCTGGTCTAAGTGAAATTCCCCCTGCCTCCTCCCCCCGTTCCCCAGGGGACGAGTGCCCTGCTGGGGGTGCTGGCTGCTCTCCCACCCCCTGCCCTGCTCACTGCCCTCAAGGGCCCCCTGGTGCCTCATCCTGGAGACTGAATGCTGCCGAGGTGATAAACCTTCTCCCTGGAATTTACCATCCCTGCATCCCAAGATTAGCCAGAGGAGAAGGCAGGAGCCCCACCAGCAGGACCGCTGCTGAAAAGCCACCAGCCCGTTGCAGCAGGGTGGGAGTGCCACCCAACAGGTGCCCAGACACATCTCCTCTTTATGGACATCTCCTTGTGTCATGCTTCTCACCCTCCTCACCACAGCCAGAAATAAAACGTCCTCCTCTGCCTTGCCCCACTACAGGCACGGCTGCTACAGACATTGCAGCCAGAGGCCTGCTGCTGTGCCAAGGCAGCTGGCAGAGCCAGGGATGGGGTCTGGGTGTGCAAACCTGGATTCTGGAGGGCATCTCCTGCCTCCCAGAGCAAGGCTGGTGTGGCTGGGAGCATCCCAGCTTGCACATGGGTGGTTCTTGGTGGAGAGTTGTGCACCCAGCAGCTAGATTCACTGCCTCTCTGCACCTGCTGGCTCCTCATTATTCCCTTCCAAGCATGGAAACCTGATTTCCAGTGAGCCAGAAGGCAAACTCCCAGTGTATCCCAATCACCCCCGCACCCTGGCTTGTTATCCCTGCAACCTCTGCTCCCCCCAGCCCACCTGTGTCCCTGTGCCCCTCAGCTGTGCAGAACCACACCATGGCACCAGGAGGCCTTGGGGCACCTCCACTGGTGGTGCAGAGCTCACACCTGAGCTAATGGGGATCCTCCCTGTCCCCCGTTCCTAGAGAGGAGATAGAACCTTAGGATCAGGGATATACACAGCTAAGCAAGTAAGAGGGCAAGGGGGCAGGAGACATTGGGTGCTTCTACAGCCCCAGCCTGCACCACCTGCAGGCACTGATCCTGCTCTGCTCCAGGGCACAGCTTTGCATCAGCATTAGTAACATGGTTTATCCATGTTTCCTCACAGCAGCCATGGATTTGTGAGATGTGCTTTGCTTCAGGAGGCCCCAACAAGGCTGTGGGTCACATCCACCCCTGGCCTCAGCCTGAAGTCACTCATGATCTCAAAGCAGGGTTGATTTGTCCTTCCCCACAGCAAGGAGTGGGGTCTTTGCTTGCAGAGGATGCTGCAGCCCAGACAAGCTGAGCTGGGGCTTGCAGTACAGATCGCTCCAGCTCCTTCCCAGCCCGTGGGCACGCTGCATGTCTCAGGTGTTTCCCTGAGACATCTCCCAGGATCAGCTCTTGGTGTGAAAGAGCCAGCTAATCATATTATGTCAGAGAGCTCGGAGAGGCGAGGGAGGGAGCTGCAGGCGGACCCGCTGTGCCTTTGAGCTGTGTGAATAATTGATAAGGCCACTCAAAAGGGCTCGCGCTGCGGTGCCGAGGCATCAGCCAGCCCTGCCTCGTTCCCTGCTGCTTGCACTTCTCCGTGCTCAGAGGAGACCAGCGGAGCATCCATCAGAGCCTGCCTGCACCAGCCTGGATACCAACAGAGCCACAAAGGCTGAGACTTGCTGGGGAAGCATCATCCACAATGGGTCTCCTGCAGCTGGGAGTAACCCTGGTCCATCTGCCTGGGTCTGAGTCCTTCCTGCTCTTTGCAGAGACTTGGAAAAGGAGGTGTGGACCTGGTACTGAGACAAGAGCAAACCCATCCAGTGTTGTGGTCAATGTCATGAAGAATTTACTTTGTGTGGAGACACATATTCCTGTATACAGGCCTGGCGAATGCAGGAGGGAAGGCTGGAGCATGATGGATACACCATGGACCTGAGCTCCTCCAGTTCTGCTTTCCACCCTGCTGACCAGCGCGGACATGCAGTGCCACCAGCAGCTTGAGTCTGCAGAGATCTCAGGAGAAGAGGAGCAGAAGGTGATGGATGCCAGGTGTGGGGCTGTACAGACTGCACTGGTCCTGGGGCATCTGCAGCTCCTGCCCAGCTGTCTTGGCTCCTTCCAGCTCTTCCAGGCCAAACTTATTGGAGAGAGCTCCACAGCATTTCTGTGCAGCTTAGGCTGCCCTCACCCTGGGTGTTTTAGCCTGTCAAAGCCTGGCAGGCTGTGGAAAAAATGAAAAGGCACGTTGCTTTGAATTTCAGAACCCAGAAGTTGCAACATCTTCCTCTCTTGCAGCCTCCTACCTGCACTTTCAAAGCTCTCCTGATGCTCACAAATTGATCCCGTCTTCCTGGGAGGCAGGGAAGGATTACAGGCTCATCCCTGCTGTACTGTGGTACAGAGATGGCAGCATGGCATCACGAGCTGGATAGAGAGCTCTCTGTTATTCTTCCTCCCACTCTAACCTCTGAAAGTGACAATTTCTTTGGGAAACGTGGGTCAGGTTAAGGTGGGAAAAAAAGTGGTGGTGGATCTGCTGGGATTTTCCTTTCAAACTCACTTCCCTCAGGCTGAAGTTGAGGGCTGTGGAAGATTTGTGCCCCTGCAGTGCAGCCTGGTTGATGCACTTGGCCCTCCCTGGCCCTGCAATCATACGGAGCCAGGAGGGGAGGCAGGGCGCACCCCCTACCTGCTGGTCCTGACCCCAAGCTTTTATCTCACCTCTGTCACCCTGATAGCAGGGCTTGTCCAATCAGAAGCAACAATCACCTTTGACTTTTTTGGGTTGAAAAGCCTCATTATGTTGGATTTTTGCTATTTTAGATTCTCTGCAGCTCCCTTTTATAATTTTTTTCAATGTCCACCCAGCAAAGGCTGAAGGGGTCACTGTATGAAGTGCTGTGGTGCTCAGTGGAGAAGGGGCAGAGCTACCACACTGAGCGAGGCTAACCACTTTGCTAAAATGGGGATGAGTAAGTAAATTGCACACCAAAGCATTCCTGCCCATGTTTCTTGCATGAGGGGTGCTTCTGCAGCAAGATGTGTGCTGTCCATCCTGTCTCCCCCAAATGGAAGAGGACCTCTGAGCAGGATCAGAGCCAGGAAAGCAGTTCTGCTGAATGATGGACACAGCGGCTATCGCCGAGTGGGAAACCTCAGCTAAAGGCAGGAAGCTGAGTAGCAGTGTTTGTCCATAGTTTACTCGCGAATCCTGTTGTGGTTACTTGGATGATCAGTCCTGATCGATGCTGCTGTGGCCTTTACTCATGAGTCCATAAGAACAGCATATTTTTGGACAAAGGATAGTAAAATCTGTAGAGCAGAGCTGAGTCCCTGAGTTTGGTGACTCACAGGGGCCATGGGCAGAGCTGAGATGTGCTCCCCCCCACTCCCCCCACCTCAGTCTCTCATCACAGCTGGGAACATGTCAGAGTGGTCATCCCCAAACCTTTGCTGCAGGCTCCTTTCTCCCACGTAGTGCGAGAAGTTCCTCTGCTCAGGCTCAGCCAGCACATAAAGGTGTCTCTGTTCATTTGCAGCCAGAGCATGTTGTCATTTTTCCGTGATTTAGTACGATTAAGAAATGCTAGTCTGTGGTCTGCAGTGAGTGTATTAACATGTGATGCCTCAAGGCATTCTCATGAACAGATGCAGACACATAGGCTCAGACCCCCATTTTTTCAGCCAGCAAGTGGAGAGAGAACAGTTCATGGGCTATGGTTCAAACAGGATCTGAAATATTCTCCTAGCAGAGAGTTTTCCAGAAAAATGAGACATCTAAAGATTGGAAGCAAGGGCAGATTTAACACATGGGAGAGCTGCAGCCAGGCATACTCTGATCTCTGTGCCCAAAGAACGGAGCACTGCAGGGACTTTGCCATACAGCAGAAGTCACCTCCTTTTCTTTGAGCTCTTGCAGAGCAGGGAGGTGGAGTCTCACACCCTTTGCCCCACACTTTTGCAAATCCAACCGCTTTCTCCAGGTACCTTGTTAAGGGTATTCCCAGTAAAGGCATCACTTACGGGCTCCTCACAGCTCCAAGGAGGGCTTACTGCAATGTAGGGATTTGTTCCTGAATGAGTTCCACATTGCTGCCTCTCCCTGCTCCAGTCTAGACCTGTTTGGTTGTTCAAAGGACAGACTACTGCTCCGCAGGCATCTCCAGACAAGTGTTCAGTGGCTTCAGTTCCTGGCTCAGTTTCCTGCCTGTGCCACTGCCAGGATGTTATTCTGGACTTCCAGGGAGACTGGAGACCCTTCAGGGGATAATCTGGCTCAAAGGATGGCTGCGAGCGGGGACAGAAGCAGAACTAGTCAACAGCATGTGTTCTTGCATTTACATAGAATGCTTGGGGCTGGATCAAATCAGGGTTGTGGAGGCTTAGAGCTTCATAGGCATTCCTTTTGTGAAGGGCTGATTTCTGGATGTTTGATACCTGGCTTTTGTCAGCTCCACACCCTGGGCAAAGTCTTCTTGTTCCCAAGGTGTATGGTGGAAACCAAAGGGAGAGCAGCCATTTATAACACTGACTGTCTCCTGAATGCCAAAATAGCCTTTGTAAGGGTTAGAGGGTCTTACTCTCATCATCCAGGTGCCTTCCAGCCACAGGGGCTTTCCAATGATGGGCTTTCTGACAATGGGCTTCCCAAGTCATTCATCTGCCCCTAAAACTGGCTGTGGCTGTGTGAGATGTCCAGCTTTTTGAAAGCACCCAGGATCAGGCAGCAAATGAGAGAGGTACTTGGGGTCTGTGTACCTAAGGACTGACCACCATGCTGCAGTTTCCCATCTATCAAATGCTTTATCCTCTTGTCATAAGCTGAACCTGAGGGATGGGGAGAAGGTGATGGGATTGGCTCCGGGTCATTTGTGAAACAATATATTCAAAAGTAAATGAGGTGCTAAAGATTAATTGCACAGAACCTTCAGGGACTTGGGAAGGGAATCTTTCTTCATGGAAATGTTGAACCAGATTGGAAAAGAGACCTTCTAGCCCAGCTGTGTGCTGCTGTGTGTTGCTGGGTGCATGGCCAGAGGGGATGGGTGGACCTGTCCACCCTGACAGGTAGTCAGTGTAGCCAAAAGGAGGGCCTGAGTGGGCAGTAAGAACTATAGCAGACTGAAAATTAAATAAGAGGTATAACATTTTTGTTTTAGCTCCTTCATCATGCAGGGCAGTCACATCCTCAGTGTAAGGGAGCAGAGGGCTTGGCCACACACACAGACAGGCACCAGGATCTGTCTGGGGACCCGGTGTGTGACTGCAGTGGTCAGCTGGGGGTGTCTGGGTCCCCTTCCCTTTCCCTGCCTCCCCCCTCCCCCCCCCCAAGTGCTGACATTTCTTTCCAGAACCCTTGGCTCCAGCTTGGACAAAATTCAGAGATGGGGGATTAATTTATTTTATTTTATTATTTGCTATTCACCCTTGGACACCAAGAGGACCCACAGTCTCAGCTGAGGCTCACAGCACATCCCTCAGCTAGGAACAGCCCCTTTCACCTCACATTTCTTTACATGCTAAAGCAGAGAGGCACACCACTGCTCCTAGGGAACCTCCAGCCCGTGCTGGGGAAGGTGAGATCCCACTGACTCCTTCTGGGCAGCCAAGAAGGGCTTGGACCACTCGGAGATGTCTCATGGCTTTCACACTCCTGCCTGCTCAGCTGCACCTGCCGAGGACAAGTGTTAGGTGCTCACAGAGCAGCAGCACCCTAGGAGTTAACGATGCCTGTCCACATCCCCACAGCTCCTTGTTCTTTGTTGCCAGTTCTCAGCCTCCCCATCTCCATCCTCAGAAGCCATTAGCGTGAGCGGCTTCATGCTTCCCTCTAGTGGCCCCAGCTCCCCTCCAGCATCACTGCTGTCTCTGACACTTCATCCCACTGTGTGCCATGCCGTGGTCACTCCCATGCCCCACCATGTCCCGGACCTCAGCTCGGAGCAGTTGTGTGCACAGAGATCCTTTGGAGTAGCTGGCCCTGAGGATGGGTCATGGTATGGCTGCTTGGGAACGAGCAGCCCAGAGTGATGCTACTCCTCAGCTGTGAACACGGGAGCTGTGAAACACTTGCTGTGATTTTTGAGTGGCTCTTTCATCACCTTGCAGGGGGTTCATGCTCTGAGGTGGTGTTTGAAGGTACTTGTCCATTAGCAGGGTGCAGCAAACTCTGCTTCAGAGCAAAAATCCTGAGGTTTTGGTATCATCTCTCAAACTTTTTTTTTTTTTTCCTTTTTGCAGTCTGCTGCGAAATGCTGACTCAGCTTCATTTCTGTACTGGGACCCCAGATGCTTTCTTCTGCTTGGGGATTGCCCCAGAAAGGTCCCTGTTTTTGGACTGTGCAGTTGAGCCCATTCTCTCAAGCCAAAGCCTTGACTGAGTGAGTCCAGTCACTTTTGTAAGTAAGGGGTGTCACTGTCATATACTGTCTGGGATGGTGAGCTCAGGGTTTTGCTAGCACAGTAGGTTACTGACCTAAATAAAGCTCCTTATGTCCTAGAGAGCTGTTCAGGCTGTCAGCTTCACCACCAGGATGCATTGAAGAAATGTGGAGTGGGCCCTACTAGGGAGGGATGTATCCAACCTCAGAGCTAGAAGATATAAAATGAGAACAGGACGGACCAGTGCTCCAAAAATACACCTGGTTGGTCTTGCTGGAATAGCAAGGAGAAAGAAAATGACATCCCCCTGAGAATGAAGACTTTGTTGTCCGATACCAACAGGATGGCCTCACCAGGTGCCTCCATGCAGGATTTCAAATCCATTCTCAAATCCATTCCTGCAAGTATAATGCAAGGAAAACATCCTGGCAGCTCCTGAGTGCTCACGATCAAGGAACAGGTTGGTCTCAGTGTCACAGTGTGCACTTACAGGTGCGCTGGGCACACACTAAGGACATTCTTACTTTTCCATCCACAGGCCAGGAGATGTCTCATTGTGTTGCCCCAGTAAAATGGAACCATCCCAGGAAAATGTGAGAAGTCCCAGTTTCTGGCACACACCATTTATTCTTCTTTAGCCCTGTGGGTGCTTCCCAGTCTGTCCCAGCTGCACAGCCAGGTCCAGGCAGCTGGTGGCTGCTCCTGTGCCACTTGGCTCTCGCAGAGCTCGCTTTGTGCAGACATAAAAATCAACGAAAAGGGGCCACACATCACAACCTCCCGTGCATGTCACAAGATAATTTTAGTACAGAAGTTGTCTTGAGCACTTACATCTCCCTGAGGAGCTGGGCCTGGTAGATACCATTCATTTATCCATCACCATCATGACAAAAGGCAAGTGAGAAAATGTGGCTCTAGGCCTGAGAAGTTTTTAGCAAGGCCGATCACGCCTGATAATTAACATTGAGAGCACTGAGCTCATCCACTTCTCTTCATCTCAGCATTGTCCTTGTCTTGCTACATTACTTTTTGGCAGTGGCCCAGCCAGCACACGAGAGATATTGAACTGACCTTACAGCAAGGCAATAAAGCACACTGCAAAACAGCAGCACCCATCCCAAACCAACAGACCCACAGAAGTCAGCCAAAAGACTTCTGCCAACTTTGTCAACCTCCACATCTGTTCCCCCCCCGCTCCCCTGTGAGAGAGGTTGGCAGGGGAGAAGCAGGGCAGGCTCCTGGGCAGGACTGCTGCCACCACTCGGTGATGGTTCTTTGGACAGACCAAAAAGACTTGGGTGTTAATGGAAGTTTGTGATGTCAAGTTCTGCTTACGACCCTGCAAGATGATGAAGCCCATTGCAATATCTCCAGTCTAGGTTTCCTGCCTCTATAGGGAAAAGGTTCCTTACTGTAGCTGTGCCTTTATATTTACAGCTACTACTCAAATAGGCATGGTTAGGTCATGTGCACTGGGTACAATTTATTTCCCCAGCATGAGAAGCAACTGTGTTCAAAAGCCTGATGGGTTTTTGTTTTAAAAGGAATGAGCAGAATAAGAAGAAATAACAAACCAAGCCCTAAAGAAAGCATCAGCAATATTTGCACAGGACAGTAGTGCACAAGCGTGGCTCAGCTGTACCTGTAGCAGCTGCCAAAATAGATGTGGGGATGGCCACAACAGGAAAAGTGGCCACGGTAAGACTCCCATGCCACACAGTGGAAAAAAGCAGGACATACAGAGAGCCTGTCTGACCCTGTACAAGCCCTACTGCATCATCTCTGTCATGATCTGTGTGGCTGTATGTTGGCAAGCATTCCTGGTCAGACCATTACCAAGTGTTTAGTCTCTCCTCTGATGCTGGATACCTTCTGCAGCAGGAGTATTCCCTTTGATCTCGTTCCAGTCTAGCAGACGTTAATGGGATGGTGTGCCTCGGCCGAGCGCTCTCGCAGATGGATAGCCTCCTCTGATGCCTGTCATATCAATTGCTGCAGCCATGTAATCTGCTCCTCGGAGTGCGTGATTGTGCCTGACCCACCGGACCTGATGCCATTCTGCTTCATGTGCTCTTTGCTGGCCTTCTTCAATTCATGCCTCAGCATACACTTACACTGATCTCTGCTGCCCTACCATCAGATTTGCGGCCCCTTGGCCTTCAAATTGCTTTCCTGACTCTCAGTGGGCCTTGGAAGTGTCCTTTCATTCTTGCCTCTGAAATCACATTTGAGCTCTGCTTTGCCTCTCCTTCACTGCACTGTGGGGGAACTGAACTTTGCCTGCAGCTGGCTCACAGCTGCTTGAAGAAAGAAGAACCAGAAGACCTGAGTTTTAATGTGTTTCCTGTATGATCCTGGCAGGTGAAACCCACCCTACGTGTTGAGAGATGTCATTTGGACCAGTAGAAGAGCTTGCTCTTTCTGCCTCGATATATAGCTTTCACGTTAGCTTGCAGGGAAGCTTTCAGTCAGCCTAGTAGGTCTGATCCTGGTGGTACCCAGCTCCAGTCATGTAAAGTCAGCCACTAATATATGTTAGAAGCATGTAAATGCATCCTGGACAACTGAACCATGGCTGTGCTGGCAGAGTGAGGCCACACAACCTGGGGGTCAAAGCAGACTTCACTCAGGTACTTGTCTTCATGCCATGGGAAGGAGAGGAGCAGTACCGAGCTGGCAGCTCGTGGGACAGACGAGCTGCAGCTGGTTGGGATATCTGCTTCCAGGTCAGCCTGGGCAGGGGGAGATCTGGCACTTGAAGATTGTGCAGGAATGCAAGACTGGCACCTTGCTGCCCAGATCTTCAGTTCAAACTGGTATGGAGGCTTTGCCCCCTGTGAAGCAGTGCAGTTGTTACTTGTCTGGCTCATGAGCCCCCGACTTCTCACCGACACTAGTGAAAGTCCTTGTCAGGACATGTTCTGCCCTAGAAATACAGAATAGCTGAAAAGCTGAATGCAGAAACCCCACCACCACAAGTGGCCCCAAATCGACACACAGGAGGTGACATGCCAGCCCAGGACCTCTCCTCCCATGTACCCCCTGTACCTGTGCAGCTCCAGAGATGCCAGAGGCACTGCTCTGACACATCCCGATGTCAGTGTTAAAGAGGGATCAGTGTTGCCTGGTGCTCACAGCAGCCTGAACATCCCTGTGACACCAGCAAAGCTTTTCAAAGCGTCTGGCTCAGCACGCAGTAGGTCTGGTGTCAGATGTGGAAGCAGCCGATCTGTGTGTCTGATGAGCTGGTGGGTACTGGTCCAGATGGCAGCGGTCAGAGCCGGGTCAGGCCCCTCTCGGGGCTGCTGGTGTGAGCAGCACTTAATGCAATCACTTGACAGGGGCCAAGCAGATCTGCATCTGCTGGACTCGCACCCTGCAGGTTATGCTGTAAATAACTGCTGGCACCTGGGAACACGGGAGCAGCCAAACTCCTGGCTGCAGACAGGACACGTCTCCACCACTAACCCCCACCAGCATGGTGCTCCCTTTGCAGCTAGAGCAGCCTTCAGCTCCTTGACCAGATAAATGCTTCCCACTAACAGGGCTCACCACGGCCAAGTCCCTCAGGGAGTCTGTTCTTACCTTGTGTCAGGGACATCAGCTGTAAAATCACTGCCAGTTTAACTCTTCAGTGGCTCCTGTAGCAGCCTGCGCCTTCAGTTGAGTCTCCTGAAAACATTTAATAGGCCAGGCTCATGGAGGTTGTGAAGGTAATATTCATGCTATGAGGAAACCAGGGCCTGACCAAATATCTCACTATAGAAATTGAGGTGATGTGTATGTTTGACAAGGACGCCTGTTGTTGACTCTATTTCTGAGGAGAACTACTCCTCTCCATCTTCTGGTGTGCCTCCTCCATCACACCTGGGGGCGAGGACAGGACATGGGCAGAGTTTGGTGCTGTCAGACTCACCCTAGGGAGTTCCCGGCAGAGACCTTTTTGGCCGGGGAAGAGGAACAGAGGTGATCCAGCCCCTCTCCCTGAAGTTCTCCTCTTGTGTTTCCTGCTTTTGCTTTTTGTCCTATGTCACAAAAAGCACCCGAGTTTTAATTTTTCATCTCAGACGAAGACTAATACATTCTTCCACCCCAAGAATAAGTTTTTCTTGAGGTGGGATTCCACCTCTAGCCATGACTCAGGCTCAAGTCATTCTGTTGTTATACGATCTGGCTCCTTCCTTGCATATTTTGATCATTTAGAAATGATTCAGTGCCCCAAGAATTATTGTAAGGGCCAATATAGAGATATTTTAGGAGTCTCGGTATTGCCTTTGTATCTGAAAAAGGAAAGAGCCAAGACATTATTGCCTGTTATAAATACAAAAACAAATACAGGCTGTTTGAGCAAGAGCAGTTACACAGCTGCTTCACTCCACGTGAACTCCATCCTGCAGGAGCCACTGTCCCAGAAGCAGCCTGCAGGGCTGGGGGACTGGCTCTCGCTTCAGACCCACGTGCTGCAACGTTGCACTCAGCCTCAGCCTCAGCTCCTCGTGGAGGAACCACTGAGCCTCCTCGTACCTTCCCAGTCTGTAGCACATCACCCATTTCCTGGGCTCATTCCCAAGACAGAAGACTTAGCCAGGATTCCTAAACCTCACTGGTAACGTGGACACAGATTATCAAACCCGCTAAGTACCACATCGATTCAGAGATTTTAAACCCAGGAGGCACCACCAAGGTTACTGGGTAACCAACATGCAGAATGTTCTCAGGAGACTCTCTTGCTGAACCCAGTCATTTGCTTCTGACTTAAGGAAGTCTTCAGAAAAGCAGCCCTGGTTTTATCTTTTTTTTTTTTCCTTTTTTTATGGATCAATTCACTGCAACTTTACTGCGAAAAATAGCTCTGGCTCGTGTGTAAGATGTGTACGCTATTGTCCTATTATAAAGCCATTGTCATGTTGTTATTGTTATGTTGTCATTTCATAAAATGACTGAAAACATGAAGGTTTTATGGGAAATGCCTAATCTTGGATACTTGGGATTATTAACTGAAAAGGGCTCACAGCACCATTTTATGTTATTTTTATTTATTCAGCCACCCAGACCTTTATTCTCTAAGCTCACAATAGCAGATATCATTTCACAGCATTATCACAGCTGAGAACACCAGTGGTTACACAGCCACTACTTTTGTACCATTTGTGTCTGTTTTTTTCATATTTATTTGGGCCAGGAACAATAAGTTCTGCGTTCCTGGCCCTTCCAGGTGGAGCAGAGGGCCACAATATCAGGCCACCCTCTCCAGGCTCCTAACCACTGAGAAACCTGAGGGGACACAAGAACAAAGCCTTTTTTTTTTTTTTTTTTTCTTTCATATTGAAGAGGAACAAAAGCAAAATGAGGCAGGAACTGACAAGAGAGGCCAGGGGCAGAAAACAATGGTCTGGTAGCAGCTCTGTAGCATGGGACCTGGCTTGACCAGGGTGTTCAGCTTGCTGGTAAGAAGGTGACCAGCATCATGAGATGTGCAGACATTGCCTGCAGGCATCCCCAAGGAGGTTCAAGACCTCTGCTTCAAGAAACATGTGGAGAGCACCCAGGGACAGCATCAAGAATGGTCAGAAGCCTGGAAACATGTCCTTCAAAGAAAGGTGGGAAGAGGTGGCACGTTTAGCTTGCAGAAAGGTAGGCATGATAACAGTCCGCAAGGTTATAAAGGGTTGGGACAGAAAAGAGAGTAATCTGTTCTCTGTGTCTGCAGTGGACAAGGCAAGAAGAAAGGAACTTAAGCTGCACAAGAGAGATTCATGGCAGTATCTGGAAAGCCTGTCTAGCAGGATGGATGATGAAGCTCTGGTATGGATTGCCTGGAGAAGGTGTGGAGTTTCCATCACTGGGAGCCTTAACAGTTAAGGAAACATCTCTAGGGGATATCAGTAGCATTCGTCCTGCACTGGCACTCCATTTGTCACGGCTGCCTGGCCCAGACCCCACGGAGGTGCACCAGGATGGCACCCAGCTGAGTACAGGGACTGCTGCTGGAAGGGAAGGGCACAGTGTCCCTGCTTTGCTTGCTGACTAGCAAGCCAAGAAAATTAAAGTGGAATAAGCACAGGAATGGAAAGAGCATGTGGGGAGAAACATGGAAAAGAAAATTGCAGAAGAAAAGTGGCAATAAGATTGCCTGCCTCCAGCCTGGGGACAATGTGAGTGCAAGGAGCACATCACTGAAGACTGTCTTCCTGATATTTGTGCCTTCTCCAAAGTCCCCTTGGGCAGATATAAGATGGACAGATACCACCTTGCTGTCCTGCTTCCCTCAGAGGCAGTAGACCCAGGCCCATCACCAGTCCGCATACCTCTTCTAGGACCATCAGACCTAACAAAAAAAAAAAAAAAAAAAAAAAAAAAAGCTCTTGTGGCATGTAGATTTTTTCATGTAACAAAAGATGGAAGTGAATTGCCCACAGCCCCTGTCAGTCACTAAATGCCCCAAACATTCAGCTGTTTGCAAGAATACACAGTGAAACAGTCCCAAATCCCTGCAGCCTGGACCCTACAGAAGAACCAGCTTCCTCCCTCTTTCACCAGCACCTGACTACGTTGGCTGCAGTGGCAGATCTTGAGAGAGTCTCAGAAACCCTTAGATAGAGACAGTCTTTGCCAGCCTGAGTTTGTGGGAATCCCCGAATGCCCTCTAGTGGCCTTGTTCCCAAAATGTCCCTGCAGCTATGGGCACGAAGCCGCCGAGGAATGATTTCCCAGAGCTGCTGAGGACACGCAGCTGGGGCTGAAGTTAATGGGAGCCGCATCTGCTTAGCTCTGCTTAAAATCAGGCCCAGCACATTTCCCCTTCCTTCACAAGGGGACCGAATATCGCTCGTGTTTGCACAGTTCATTGTGTTTGTTACCCAGCTGAGTTTCTTCCTCCTATTCCTACTCCTCCTCCCCTCTCCTGTGACGGTTTGGCCGCGCTGGCTCCGAGGTCCATCAATTGCCTGTGGCCAACAGGGGTCCTGGAGGGGTGGGAGCAGCAAGGGGGTGTTTGCAGCAGCAGGAAAGAGGGAATTATTTCACAGGCAACCTTTCCTCTCCACAACCCCCCACCCCTCATACCTCCCCAGGATTTATTGAAGTTGGACTCAAGTTAGATGTCTTTCCACTACGGGAGACTGATGCTGTCAGAGCCACCCCCCGTGCCGGTGATGTAACCGTGTAGCTCAGAGGCAGCTGCACTCAGACTAAAGGACAATTATCTAATAGCGAGATTACAATTAATTCTGCTGAAGGGAAACAATTACCCTTTCAGATCTAAATGGAGTATAAAAAAGCACAACATTTACAGACGGAGGAAGAGGGCACACACTTCCTGAGGGCTACTCTCACTGCGTGACCTGGCAGCATCCCTGGGATGAATTTGTCAGGCCCCACAGCCCTGTCCTGCGGGCATGTGGGGTGGGAAATCACTTCCCTTACGGACGGGCTGTCGCAGCCCATTGACTCACAGCCTGCTATGGCTCCCTGCACCCCAGCCCCACGTGAATTCAGCCACGCTCCCGGTGCCTCAGCCCATTGCAGCCCCTCCACCAGGCATAACCTTTGTGCAGCCAAGTGGAACGCCCTCCCCATGGCATTTGCAGCAGAGGTGGACAACCACCACTGGCAGCAAGGCAACAGGCCGCATGGGAGGAAAGGGTTAAATGATACAATTCCCCTTTTCACTGCAAATAGATTTTGCTCTGCTCTGCCTGCAATACTGTTTATCAGCAATTGCAGGCTTTAAAATCCGTACTTTACAAGTGCAGCATAACCTGCCAGTTATAATTGGTTGAATTATACCTCATCCCTGATGCAACTCTTGATGACTCTCCGCCTCAGCCAGAAAACTGATAGGAGACAAGTTTATAGCTCTCTTGGAAAACACAATTATAAATTGCATCCCCACCACAAGCCCTGGAAAGCATTAACTGTTTCACTGCAGTTCCCCAGGCATGGAGGTTTCACAGCCATTTCTTTTCCCATGCAGAAAGGGAGAGGAGGAGAGAAAAATCACTGCCAGAGGAATTCAGATAGATCCAGTGAAAAATAATGGAGAGGAAAAGAGGGATGTACTGGCCCAGTTCCTATTTGCACCAGGACTCCCTGTGTGTTTCCAACTCTCAGGAATATGCCCAAGTGTTTATAGGCAGGAGAACCACATGCCAAGGAAAGGTACCAGGAGGTGCACTGACTTTGGCCATAATTGCCCTGCAGTCTTACATAGGCCAGGTTATGCCACAGCCCCAGCCCTGCTGAAGCCACTGTGGTCCCAAATCCTTCACTAGGATTTTCACTAGCTGCTCCCAGCAGCTGCTCTTTATACCATTCCCCTTCCGTGCTACAGAGCAGGAACTGGGAAACAACTATCACGAGGACTGATAGGGGGTGGGGGCAGAATCCCAGTGCAGACAGAGCCTGCAGCCAGAATGGTTCAGAAGGTGCAGCATCACCCATGGCTCAAAAGATCGTGGGCCTTTGAGTATCATGATGAAGACCAGACATGATGAACTAACTGCAGCTTACCACACCAGCACAGATCAACCAATTCTCAGAGCAGCTGTGTCACTGTGCTTACAGGTGGACATCGTTTCTTCACAGCTATAAGAGGTGTCTCGAAGCATTTCACTCTGCTCTCCAGGGCTTGTCACTGGGGTATAGCAGGGCCAGCTAACAGCAGACCTGTTTCTGCAGTGCTTAACAGTGGACGTGTCCTGATCTGAACTTGAACTGTGCCCAGCCATTGTAAAGGGCTAAGTCCTGGACTAAGGTCAGACCAAGCCTATCACTAATCCTTGCATCCCCAAGGTCTGCCTGGATTTTGTGCTGCTTCCCTTGAGCAATAATACAGGGAACAGAGGGCACAAACCCCATGCAACTACAGCCTAGGCATGTTTCAAAACTGCCTCTCTTCCCTTCAGAGATGGGATTAGTTCCCTTTCAAAAGAGAGAAGAAAGAAATCTGTACTGAATTTGAATCACTTGAAATAGGACTAAGAGCAGCTGCTTGCTTTGCCTCAGGAAGCACAGCTCTTCTGCAGGAAAGAAAATGTCCACCAAATGCTCTGGATCTCCCCATAAATAAGTAGAATTTTTAGTAAGGTCTTTAGGAATGAGCCTGATTGTCCTGTGGGTTGTGATGGGCTCACATTAGCCTTAAATCCTTGCTATGCCACAGTTCAGAGTTTGATCTGTAAATGGCCTATAATTAAGCCTGAGATGGAGTTACCCTTGCATACTGGGAAACGATACATCTTTTTCCCCCTAATCCTTAAATTGGTCTCACTGAGCCTGTGCTGGCACTCGTAAAGCCTGATGTATCCAGGCAGCCTGAGAGCAAAGCCCTGGAAAGCCCTGCTGGTCCTGCCTCTGGCAGCCTGTTACACCACCCGTTAGGAAAGGACCAGCTGATGAACGGACCTGTGGGACAGGGGATGCTCACCTGGTTCTCACCTGCGTGCAGATTTCTGAATGGGAGCTGGGTCACTGGCCAGAGCAGTTTGGAATGGTGCTTCTGGAGATGTCCTCAAGAGAGGATATTGCCAAGCATGGCCATACCCTAAACATCACTTCCCAGCACTGCTCATGTCCAATATAGCCTCCTCCTGCCACAAGGCTCCCTCTTTCCTTCTAATCCTGAGGATCTGTACCCTGGGCAGAGGACATATGGTGCACTGTCTTGCTCTTCCTGAGCTCATCAAGGTGTTTGCACTAGGACAGCCAGCAAGCTTCTTGCTCACTCCAGAGTTTTCTTCTTGGAGCTTTCATCAGGAGAGACTGTGTTTAGTTTTCTTAAACTGGTTCATCCCTGGAGGAAAAAAATGTCAGCGATTTTTCTGAACCTCTTTAACCCTGGCTTCCCCAGAACATGGTCCTTCCAGGCTGTGGTGACATGAGTCAGCAGGAGCCTGCAGGTCACTCTTCTGTGTCACGCAGCCTTGTGGTGCACCATCTTCCCTCTCCTCTCAGCTCCTGCTGACTCAGGGCACAGAAGCAGCTTGGAGCCAATCAACCCCTGTCTCCTCTTTTCAAATCCTCTGAAATATGGGCCCAGAAATATTTACAGTCTCTCTGTCTGTCCCTGACCTTCAGCTTTTATTTGCGTACGTAAATTTTGTTCTATTCCAGAGCTACAAGTTTCATATCAGGGCAGTTCAATCTTTATGAGGATAAAGTGTTTGCAGTGCTCTTAAGCTGCTTAACGTAAGCATGTGTGTGAAAGATTAACAGCTTTATAAGTCGGAGCAGTTAAGTGACAATATAAAGAGAAAGGAAAGGGGAAAACATCATCAATCTAAAGCAGCACAAGGAATATTTGAGATGAATTACTGAAGGGAACTGGCTGCCAAGCCCAGCGGTGTCTTGGTAAGATGCACCAATGACCAGTGCAGGAGCCCTCTCAGGGGAAAGGTAGAGGCTGAGCAGCTTTAAAGGATCATCTTCTCTGCAGCTCTCAAACTTGGAAGAGAAAGGAAACTCTCTAATTATCCCCTGATATTTATGACCATCATTTGGTGTTCTGTTCAAAGCAGACATCTGAGTGGAGGAAGGAAGAGACAGACTCTTAGCACGGATAAATATGCGCTTCCTAAAGGCGCTGTCAAGCCCTCAGAGATCAAAGCCAGCCCACAGCCCGTGGGTGCACCACAGGGCTCCTACCTGCCTCCCTCTCTTCCCATCGAAAGCATTTGCTGGAGACACTCATCCCTCCTTCTGCAGAGGCTAAGGAAGTTTTCAGGTGGTTGTAGCATGTCTGGTGGATCCAGAGACAGCCTCATCAAAGAACTAATGTGCCCCTTGATATGAGATGAGGGAAGACTAAGAAGAAACATCAGAATATAAACCAAAGGTCACACTACCATTTTTTATTTGATTTACAGCCACTGCACCTGCATAGCTGTCCGAAAACCTCTCTGAAGATTTCAGTTGTAAAGCACAGGGTCATGCAAGGATAAAGACTTCTTATGACCTCTGGCAAACTAGCTAATGTCTGTGTCCTGGATTTTACTTACATGCAGTAAGGGATAATTCTGCCTGTCTTCCAAGACAGGTGGCTGGTTTATTAATGAACAGTTGCAAAATGTTCTGAGATCCTCTGATGAGGCATCTCTGGAAGAGCAAAATATGACGATGCCAATGGAAATTGGCTGTTTGGCTCCCGATTTTAATTGCATACAGAAAGAGAGCCACACACCAGAGCTTAGCGCGTGAAACAGGAAACATGAGGCATCGGGAGAAACTGAGAACGGTACCGGATGTCAGCGAGCAAATGCTGGAGCTGTTCTTTGCCAAAATCAGGCATGGTGAGCTTGGCAGGAAGAGCAGAAGGCTTCGCTTGGGTCTCACTGGGAGAGCTCCTAAAATACCACCTGAGCTCGGATTCACCCGGTTCTCTCTTTGTTGGACTGCGGTTTACAAGCAGGAGCAACGTACCTGCTGGAGGGCTGCCTCTCACCCCCGCTCTGCCACGGAGTTCGTTCCCCTTGTTGGAGCCTGGCTGGAGGCCTGGCTTTGTGAGACCCTGCCCTGGGTGCCTTGGGTTTTCACTGAGAACCTCAAAGTGCACGTTCCTGCCTTTCTGTGACCACCCGTACAAACATCTAGAGGCCCGTGACAGACATCTGCTGCTTGGAAAGTTGGCCTTGATTAATAACATCCTCCAGAGCACCATTACTGGAGTCGGGAATGTTTGCGGATGGAGCATATCTCTCTTGGAAAATGACTATTCATCAGAGCAGAAATTTTCCTCCAGGGAACCGCTGCTTTTGACAAACTTCAGCACTGAATAAAAAGACTGAACAACAATATTTCAGTGAGGTCAGAGGACTCCACTTCAGAGTTACTGGAATTTCCTTTTGTGGTGAAGCGCAGCACTGCAGTAAGGCCCAAACACCTCCATTAAATGGAGCAAAATTCAGCTTTTTTTTTTTTTTAATCCTGATGTGAAGCATTTGAAATAGTTTTAAAATATTATTATTATTATTTTTTGTTTCCTGTTCCCTGTGTTTTTGTTTGCTTTTCAATTTGGACCAAAAGAAATCCATGCCAGTGGAATAGGAAATCTGACTTCAAAAGCAATTCCAAGTTGGATGGCAGTGAAAATGCCCCAGGTTTGCAATCACTGCTAACAGCGGTCTGTGGTGATGACAGGCAGGTGGCCAGGACAGAGCAGAGGAGTTCACAAACATGTTTCAGTGTTTGGTGTGTTCCCTAAACATAACCCAGGCTGTCCTCAGGGGAGAATAACCCCCCACTCTCTGTATTGCAGGAAATCTGTGCTACGCTAATAATAAAGATAACCTGGAAAGATAACTTCGCAGGCTCCCGTTTTTACATCTCAGCAGGAATACAAATAAGCCCAAACAGTTCTTAGAGATGGAAGAAGCTTGTGGATGGAACTGGAAATCAATGTGCCATGCAGCAAGCACTGGGCCCAGGTCAGCTCCCCACCACACAGGTAGAAATCCATCCATCTGCTTTAGGTGTTTATTTATTTCTAAGGCAACTATCACCATGGTGCCAAGGGATATACCTATCTCAATTTCAGGCTAGTTACTCCAGCTTTGTGGCCACGTGACTGAGTGCAAAATTTGGTGAAATATATTGCATGGGAAAGGAAAGGAAAGGAAAGGAAAGGAAAGGAAAGGAAAGGAAAGGAAAGGAAAGGAAAGGAAAGGAAAGGAAAGGAAAGGAAAGGAAAGGAAAGGAAAGGAAAGGAAAGGAAAGGAAAGGAAAGGAATTATCCAGGTGAATTCTAAAGCTGATGGGAGATTTTCAGTTACAGGGTTGCTCCCCCTCTCACCCTGGAAAAGGCAGCATTTTGAAACTGAAGCTTTCTTTGGGTTTCAGTGACACCTTTAGGGACTAAGGGGAAGACCACATATCTGTTGGTCTTCCATCAAAAGCCCTGCTGATGCAGGGCACTTGGCCCATGCTACTTTTCTGCCTCTGTTTTTTTTTTTTTTTTTTTTTTTTTTGTTTTTTCCCAGATCTGAATTTATGACTCTGAGGTGATCGTTCCAGCCCAGAGCTTTCAGCTCCTTCACAGACTTTATTTCCAGCTGTCTTTTGACTTTTGAAAAATGTTGGCTTCCTGATTTATTCAAGGAAGAAGAGACTTCAAAATCATTTTACAGGAATGAATCCTCCTTTTCAGGCAGCTCTGAAAATCCTGGGAAAAAACTATTTCTCTCTATTATGTTAATATATCTTGAATGGCCAACTCCATGAGAAAGGCAACTTTAAACCTAAAGCTTCCAACATTTGAGCACTTGTTTTTGCAATATTAATGATCCCTCAGTAAAGTCTTCTTTTCCCCTCTACACACACACTGCTTGCTTCTGAGCCTCTTTTTCACTCTCGTTTCAAAAAATGAGAGCACATTACCTGCTTGTCAAAGCAAAGATCAAGAGGTGACAACCTTGACTTTAACAAGCTGAATGTGTATTTAATGCTAAGGCCAGAGTTAATGTTTCTGAGTAGAGCACTCTGCAACACATCCAGCACACATATCTCAAGCTACACTGGCTGACATGAAGCTAGACAAACCCTAGATAAAACACAATGAAAATTTTTAACACCTCACGAGGAATTATTTGCTGGAATAACTTCCCAGAGGAATTATTTACTAAAGTCACTTGCCAGGTAACAACACGGATACTCTGAAGGGTCATGGGGTTGCCCAGCTGCTTTTCACATGTAGGCTAATTGGAGTCAGAGTTGAAATGAACAAATGATTTCAAACTTCATCCTAGTATTCACAAGAGCATTGGCCAACTGTGGGTTTCAGCAAGCACATAAAGAAAGATCGAGATACCTGCTGCTCTGTAGGAGCCTCACCAAACAGTCCCCACTAATCCTGGGCTCAGCAGAGCTGGCCACATGCTTACACAGGGTCTGAGACATTTTCAGGTCAGGTCCATGTGCAGACTCGGTATGTGCAGACTTGTCCATGTGCAGAAGAGGATCCCACCATGGTGGGAATGAATTTTAACCCTAATTCTTCATCATGAGCCTATCTCTAGTGTGTATTTGTTATTGTAGTTAATATTTTAATAGTATAATGCCAAGAATAACTCCTCTACAGTACAACCAACACAATCTCCAGTAAGGAAATCCATTCAGACAATCATATACACTGTAGGTCAGATTATCACACACACACACACACAGAGAATTTCTAGGTTGGAAGAGACCTTAAGATCATCGAGTCCAACCTCTGACCTAACGCTAACAGTCCCCACTAAACCATATCCCTAAGCTCTTCATCTAAACGTCTTTTAAAGACTTCCAGGGATGGTGACTCCACCACCTCCCTGGGCAGCCTGTTCCAGTGTCTAACAACCCTTTCAGGTAAAGAAGTTCTTCCTATTATGTTGTGTTCTGCATTGTAAGCGTCACTGAATTTTGGAGAAGAGAAATTCTTGGGTTATTTTTGTAGTATGTTCTTCACAGGAGATTACCTAAGGGTCCAGTAATTGCCTTCATCCAGGCCCTAGTCATTCTCCACCAGCAGGGATCCAGGAAAGTAGTCCTGAGACTTGCACAGAATTTGCAGTACCATCAAAAAGAGAGATTT